AAACATTCCTTTCAAAATTCTCCTTCTCCTTGACAATGCCCCTGGACATCCAAACACTTTAGATGACATGCACCCCAATGTAAAGGTGGTATTTCTACCCCCCAACACCACATCACTAATTCAGCCAATGGCTCAGGGAGTCATAGCCTCCTTTAAGGCCTATTATTTAAGGAGGGCATTCTCACAAGCTGTCAGGGCTACCCAAAAGGATGAAATGACCTTAAGGGATTTCTGGAAAAGTTATAACATTTATGATGCCATCAACAATATTGCTGATGCTTGGGATGAAGTGAAAGAGACAAATATGAGAGGAGTTTGGAACAAATTGTGCCCCCAATTCACAGAAGAATTTCTGGGGTTTACAGATGAGGAAATCGCCGAAACCAGGCAAGCTGTGGTTGCTATTGGTAATGAACTGCAGTTGGACATCACTGAAAATGATATTATAGAGTTACTCGACTCCCATGGCAAAGAACTAACCAATGAAGACCTTATGGAACTAGAGCAGCAGATAGAATCTAGGGAAGAAAACCAGGACCTACAAACTCCACAATTGAAAAAATTTTCTACAAAAGAGTTAGCTGATGCTTTTCAAAGGAGTAAGATCCTGATACAGAGAGGTTCAAAAAAGTTTACTGCACAGTTACCGAAGGTCTGAGATGCTATGGGCTATTTATGATGAGGGGGAAAAAAAGCTCTAAACAAACCTCCCTTGATGCCTACTTCAAGAAATTGACTCCAGCAGCAGAATCTGACTCTGACTCTCTAATACCAGTCCCATCCTCTCCAACAAGTCCATCATCCTCTACCAAGATTGTTTAAGGTTGTACTGTACAGTACAGTACAGTATTTGAAACGTTTAAGCATTTACATGCACTGTTAAAAATAAAGAATATGTTAAGACAAACATCTGTCCAAGTTGCATTTAAAGTAGAACTCCATGCAAATTTTATTTTATTTTTTTTTAATTTTTTAAGTTTTGGTTAGTTTGGTGTGGGGTTAGAGCCACCTGAGGTTTTACTGCTGTTTGTATCCTCATTAGAAAGATTTATTCTCATTTCCTGTCCTTGAGACAACAGGAAGTGAGGGGAAATCTACCCTTAGGAAGGGAAATTCACTCCTGTAAGAGTTATCATGGGAAAAAGTGATAGAAATGTAGCCGTGTTAGTCTGGGGTAGTTGTTAGTCATGGGAAAAAGGTGTCTCCACTGAAGCTTTATCACCAATCCTTCTTTCCAAGACAACCCAAAATATTCAAAATCCAATTGTCACAGGAACAGAAAGAGATGTGAAATCTTCTGAACAGGGGAACAGACAGCAAAACAAACATTAGAGGGGAGTTAATCCTTCCCTACGCTATCCAAAACTAAAAAAAAAAAAATGTTTGGCTAGAGTTTCCCCTACAATATGTACCAGTTCCGACTTACATACAAATTCAACTTAAGAACAAACCTACAGTCCCTATCTTGTACGTAACCCGGGGACTGCCTGTATACAGATACTTTTCTCTAACTGAAAGGGATGTACTGTAACCTTATCAGTGGATTCACAAATGCTTTTCTGAAAGAAATTAATATATTTTTCCAATGGCAATGGTGTGAGAAGTGTAAACAACAATTTAATAATGGCCTGGAAAAATAAACATAAACAGATCTCACGAGAGAAATTTAGCCTTTCCTTTTATAGTGCACTTTGCTGTCCTACACATAGTATATCTATTGTAAGTGCTGAGGCCCAAGCCCTGTTCACTTAACTCTTCCTAACTCAATCTCACTGTGAGATACAGAAGTTACACTGTGGTTTTAATTACTGTTAATTTTTAAGCTGAATATTCACTTTTTTTTTAAATCCTAGATAGATAGAAAGTATGTGAAGTCAAATTTGGATGAATTGTATATGCCATTAAAATAAAAATAATTCCTAAAACCACTCTTTCTATATAAGATTTGTATTTAAAATGTGCCATGCACAGGAAAATACATTAGATGGACAAAGGCAGGGGAAAAAGCAGTTGCTAACAGAAGTTTGGGATTTGAAAAATAAGTTTTAGTAGTGGAAACATATCTTATTGACAGAGTGATTGATTGGGGAGTCAAAGAAAAAATTCATTTTTTTATAATAATAATTTCATCTGTCAAATATGTCTTACTCCAAACAAGCCTGAGAAATAATGGGAGGTATGTGATCTAACTTGATATACGGATTTTGCATAATGGCAGGTTTTATTTTGAATTAAGTCTTTAAGTCATAGAATCATAAAATAATATAACACTAAGGCTGTGTCTACACTTGTGCGATCTTGCACAAAAGCCTCCACTCTTGCGCAAAAACTTGCTGCCTATCTACACTTGTGCAAGTAAACTGACATTCTAATGTATGAAATCAGGGCTTCTTGCGCCAGAACTCTGATGCTCCCACTCAGGAATAAGCCCTTTTGCGCAACTGTTCTTGCGCAAGAGGCCAGTGTAGACAGGCAACATGAATTTCTTGTGCAAGAAAGCCCTATGGTTAAAATGGCCATCAGAGCTTTCTTGTGCAGGAGAGCGTCTACACTGGCATGGACGCTCTTGCGCAAAAGCACATCTCTTGCGCAAAAGCACATGCCAGTGTAGATGTTTCTTCTGGAAGAGTTTTTGCAGAACTCTTCTGCAAAAGAGTTTTTGTGTGAGAACGCGCCAGTGTAGACATAGCCTAGAACTGGAAGGGACCTCCGGTCCCCTCCCTAACAGCAGGACCAAATACCATCTAGACCACTCCTGATAGATGTTTATCTAACCTGCTTCTAAATTTTTCTAATGATGGAGATTCTACAACTTCCCTAGGCAATTTATTCCAGTGTTTAACCACCATGACAGTTAGGACGTTTTTGCTAATGTCCAGCCTAAAGCTCCCTTGCTGCAAATTAAGTCCGTTGCTTCTTATCCTATCTTCAGAGGCCAAGGAGAACAATTTTTCTTCTTCCTCCTTGTAACACCCTTCTAGGTACTTAAAAACAACTATCATGTCCCCTCTCAGTCTTCTCTTTTTTTAAGTAAACAAGTCCAGTTCTTTCAGTCTTCCCTTGTACGTCATGTTTTCTAGACCTTCAATAATTTTTGTTGCTCTTCTCTGGACTTTCTCCAATTTCTCCACATCTTTCTTGAAATGTGGTGCCCCAGACCTGGACAAAATTCTCCAACTGAGGCCTAATCAGTGCAGAGAAGAGCAGAAGAATTACTTCTCGTGTCTTGCTCCCAACACTCCTGTTAATGCATCCCAGAATCATGTTTGCTTTTTTTGCAACAGCATCACACTGACTCATATTTAGCTTGCGGTCCACTATGACCCCTAGATCTCTTTTTGCAGTACTTCTTCCTAGACAGTTGCTTCCCATTCTGTATTTGTGAACAGATTGTTCCTTTCTAAGTGGAGTGCTTTTTACATTTGTCCTTATTAAACTTCATCTTGTTTACCTCAGCCCATTTCTCTAGTTTGTCCAGATCACTTTGAGTTATGCAGTGGGGTCCCTGGTTTGGTCACTGGTTCCAACCACATCTGTCTCTCCCCACGTAGCGGCCCTTGCTCCGCTAGAGCTGGTCGGGGCGATCTCCCCATCGGCACGCAGGCCACTCCACCTCCGAGTGCCTCCCCCTTTACCTCCCGGCTCAGAGCCGCTTATAGTCCTGGCTGGATGAGCGCATGTGCCGCCGAGCGTCCGTGGTGGGACGCCCTCATCTCAGGCCGCGGCACTCCCCAGTCCCTACAGCGGCACAAGGCAGCCGCAGTGGAGTTCTCTTGCCCCATAACATGGTGCTCCCACTCGCTTCAGTGCAGGGTGCGGACACCCCATCACAAGTAGTTACATCTAAATTAGTCCCCATCGTATTGTATATATAGTTGGGATTATTTTTTCCAATGTACGTTTTAATGTGGGCAAAGAAATTGCATTTACCAAATCACCTAGTTTTGTGAGATCCTTTTGAAATTCTTCAATCTGCTTTGGTCTTAATTATCTTGAGCAGTTTAGTATGATCAGCAAATTTTGCCATCTTACTGTTTGTTACACCTTGGTTCGGTGATGTGGTGGAAGCCTCAAGGGTTAAAGCCGATTACCCAGTGAAAACTACTGGATGATGGTGTAAAACAAATGATTTTCATTAAGTGGAATGATTCTTTTATCAAAACTAACAATTAAAAAATGGTCTTTTTAACAAACAATTGCCTAATGCTTTTACAGGGTAGAAAACTTGAACACGACTATACCTAACTGATTACAATTCTTAGATTACAATTTACTTATATTAAATCACTATCTCTAATTCACTTAATAAAAATACAAAAACAAAGACAATATAATGATAATGAAAATTCCATCTAAAGCCAGCTTCTCTATGGTTATTTTAGGGCAGCTGGTGGAGTTAGTCATAAATCTACTTTTACAACTTAACAACTCTTGGACTTCTATTCCTAACACTTACACTTAACCTAAATACAACACTACTACACAACACAAAATTATACGATTTACACAGTGTGGTTAACAGAACTTAGATACACGTTACAGAATTACACAGTGAAATTAACACAATTTAACTATTAATTAAACCAATAGCTAATACATTTAAGCAATACTTACATATCCAGCATCGATAATAACACAAAGACACACTAGAACTCGGAGCATGCTCAGGACTTGTGCACCCTTATATTTGACTCGAAGGGTGGGAAGGCTGCCTTAGGGTGATCAATCCTTTAGCCGGGCAAAAAAAGATACGTGCCCTTAATACACGGAACCTCCATCGAACAAAGGGGTTGAGGGTCTTTTATAACATAACCTGATATCCGGTACCTTATTAGGGTTAGTTCCTTGGCCGGGCCTGATAGGCTGGTAATGAGGTAACGTGAAATACTGCCCTATAGGATTTTACTTACAAATCCAGCATCGATAACAACACAAAGATATGTTAGAACTCGGAGCATGCTCAGGACTCGTGCACTCCTATATTTGACTCGAAGGGTGGGGAGGCAGCCTCAGGGTGATCAATCCTTTAGCCGGGCAAAAAAAAAAGACACGTGCACTCAATACACGGAACCTCCCTGTTCTATGATGCCTACAAGGCCAAATTCCGTTTTACAGAAAGCTGCATTGTGCTTCCCATGCTTCTCTGAGTATCTCACAGTCTGGGTTTTCTGTGAGGGGCCTTGTGTGGCAGGATGGGCGATACGCGAAGGCCATGGACAGAAAAAGCCTGCTTTCTAACACTGTTTACCCCTTTCTCATGATCATTTATAATTAGGTTGAATAGGATTGGTCCCAGTATGGACCTTTGGGGGATACCACTAGTTACCTCTCTCCGTTCCGAAAACTATTTATTCCTACCCTTTGTTTCCTGTCTTTTAACCAGTTATCAATCCATGAGAGGTCGTTCCTTCTTATCTCATGACAGCTAACTTTATTTAAGAGCCTTTGGTGAGGAACCTTGTCAAAAGCTTTCTAGAAAACTAATTATATTATATCTACTGGCTCCCTCTTGTCCTCATGTTGGTTGACCCCCCAGCTAAAAGAACTCTAGTAGATTAGCAGGGATCAAGAAATAATACAATCTATTTGCCCGTGGTGAGTAGATTGTAACCTGGAAGAGCCAGGTTTGGGTGATCTGCGCATGCGCAGAACGATCTG